ATCGTCATCGTCTACCGGTAATTCTTTGTTGTGTCTCCCCACTCTCCTCTATCGTTAGTCCATCCTCCACCGTGGTGAGCACTTTTAATGCCGAGGTTGACTTGTAATCCGGCTTTAACCGAGGACAAGTTGCGTGGTCTTATCCTTAGTCCTCCCTCAGCCTTACTAGTCATGTGTGTTGCTTACCTTCTCTCCTACCTCGTACCTACAGCACACCCCTCTGTGCATGCTGTAATTTTAAGTGAAGAACACGTTAACTCAATGTCATATATAATATTACCATAAGTCCTGGTTTGAAGTAAAAACAAAAGGACTGACAAAGGCCGAAAGTTTTATTTGCCCGACCTTCCGATGTGTGTCCCCGTCAGAGACAACGAAAGACAACTTTGTGTCTACCTACGCGTTTATAACTGGAGTCTTTCGATAAAAACCGGCGTCACCACTTAGACGTGTTTGCTTATCCTTCTTTCCAACATCAGTAGGTTAAGGAAACCACCCGTTAAGTCCAAGCTTAATAACATGCAACACTTCTCCCTTTTATCTACAACATTAGTTGCGTTTCCTGTTTTAGATAGAATTTAGCTAGTGCTGACTGCTTAACGCGTTTCACTTCGTTCAAATTTTCTTACAAACTATCATGATATCTCTTTTCCAGACTCAAATCCTCGGTCTTCGATCTAGTGATTGCTTGCTCCATTGGTGCCTACCTTTACTGTCTTTACTTCTGTCTGGAGGTGAGTGTCCATTTTGTAGGCTACTTTTATTGCGAAGATACTATCCGCTCTTTCTACACCCGCCGAAGTTAGAGGACATGTTTATTCTAAAACCTGTGCAACTGGTTTAAATCCTCATAAGTGCCACTGTTTGCCGTTTTATGGTTAAAATGTTTTTCTATGCAAAAATCCATCAAGCCTATTTTTGTCCACCAAACGCCGGTACAGATTAATCACCTCAGCGTCCCACCCCCAATTTAAGTTGACGGTGAAGTTGGAGTGCTTCGATAAATGTGTTCAATACAAAAGACTTCTTCCTAAAACATACCCCAGATCCTCTTAACTCTTCTCAATCCAGAGGATAATAGTTTGGTGTATCACCCAATTACAACAAAATACCTTGGCTGATGTGAGGTATTGACAAAATTGATCAAAACTCGCTGCACTTTAATGACCGTGGGCCAAAGCTGAAATTGCTGCTCTTATAACGTGAACGGGGTTGAAATTCTACGTGTATCCATTTGGAATCGAGCTTCCTTTCCTTAGCTGTCTTTCACATGTGCAGACAACGACTAGTGACAGCGCAAAAATCCTTATTAGAAGTGCGCCGACCGTGCCCCCGACCCAAGTATTTGCCCTGTGCTAACCACACCATCATGAGATTGAACTAGTTTGCTCTGACACACATTAGTCAACTCGACGTGTGTGCCCATTCCAATGTGAATGTAGATGGTTGTCGGCTTCAACCAAGCGAATGAAAAATTCATGGTGTCGCTGCACTTATGTAAAGTGGCGTTGGTCCTTCGAAGCCATCGACGAGAGACGTCACTTATAATCCTGTGTGCTTTTTGTAGGTAATCTTCGCATGTCTCAGTTTTCTCTTAGGTCTCATGCCTCCGATTTTGAGTCATCGTGATCGTTACCCCGGCTAATATCTTCCTCTTTGGCGGCAATTGATTCAATGTTGTTCTCTGTAATTTTGCATTTTCCTCCAGAGGCCTCTGAACTAAGAAATGCACATCAATTAACATTCAGAGTCCTTTTCATTCATAATTCCCCTCACTATAGTAACGTATTCTCAAATTTGCTAAGGATCAAACAATCGGTAATGCCAGAATTTTTAGTAACCCTCGAGGTAAGGGGCTACTTTGGACGATCCCTATAGTAGATATTATATCCCTTCGCATATAAGCCTTTCTTGAGCGAGAACTCCTTGCAATTGCATACTGTCAAGTCTAGCTTACACCATAATCTAGCTTAGTAAGCATGTTAAAATTTGAGCCCATAAAATTGCCTATCTCCTCAATGTACCTGTTTATTAAGGATAGCTATCCACATACCCAAAACGAGAAGGACCCGGAACATTTAGACTGGTAAAAGTTGTCGTTAGGTTTATATAATTTTTTCGATTATTTTGACAGAATATAAATGAGACACTTCTTTTTTGCATTTCAGCGTTTCCATCTAGTTGTTCGACTTGTAGCACATCTCACGAACAACTCAAGCAAGAAACTCAAGGCCTATTAGGATTAAGCATAGACGGAATCCCCGCTAGGGCTACTAGTTTGTTCTTCCTCGTTCCAAATAAACGTACATTTTGTGTGTTCTACTTTTGGGAGGACGTTTTCGTGTTTACTCTTATGTTATTGCCTACTCGGTTAACTTAATCCATCAATTAGACTTAGAACGCGGTTCGGGCGCATCACTGGTACGTAAAATACCATCACCACCGTGGATTTTCTCTCTACTGAATGGTGGAATAACCCTTCAGCATATCGGTACTAATCTGTCGTCACACCCACACTATCTGGGTCACGAATTCGTGTCCAGGGTTGGGGGTTTCCGTTCCAGAAATGCTTTGGTACTCGTGGGAGTGGGAATACTTTCTTATCGCTGACATTGAAGGTTTACTTGTGAAATATTTCTGACCCTAACAAAAGTGCATCAGATACAAGTAATGGGCTGGCGAAGTGTTGTTATATCTATGTAATCTTGTTCCAAGTTTTAGGCGTGGATTGGCTCTTACCTGATCGTGTTGAGGGTGTCTTTGTTTCGAAAAAACGTGACTTCATGTATGCGTTGCTGTAGTCTACTTTCTTGCAGTCCGAACAGTAGCCGGTTTTGCGACGGAACTGGACTTTACTACTGCGTTTACTTAGTATTCTATTCGCTTGATTTTATATCTCACAGTCGCCTCGTTGCAATTAGCACCATCGGTCCCCTAGCTCAAAGGTATTTACTCAGATTTCTTAACAGATTACATTTCTACCTGTCCGCAACCGCGTGCTTAGTTATTATTACCCTTTGACCAAGCACGCGATGGCGACTTGAACACAATAATCAACGGGTGCCTGTGCAGCAGCTTTTTTCGCGACAGCCCTAGACCCTGTTTGGGAGTCGTTCAGCGTCAAAGAGCCGTTGGACCTTGCTGATAGTCACTCCCAGTCCACGCAGCATAGTCACTTCTAAAGCACATTCGGCTAACAGCCCGTCTTTGGACAAAGTCGTCTCCTGGTTGCGGCAAATTGTGCTGTCCATATTGCTAGTGACTGGGAGGTTGGAGTTCCTAACTAAACTACGGCGTGGAAGGGAGCGATCTTCTAACTTATGTCAAAAAACTCCAGTTGCTTTTGGTCTTAAAGCCTAATGACCGAGTCTCGTGCCACTCCTTGCTGGCAAAGGCGTTTTGACCCATTGAAGGGTACTCTGTACGAATTTGAAGTACATGTGCATATGAAGCAGTAATAACCTCAGCAGTAGGTCGGTTTTGATGCGTTGGTCTGCAGTCTTAAAGTCAGATGTTGGGATCGTGGGTCCGTCTGGCTGGGCGTTTACGACGGGCAACTACGAAATCCTACTCGGGATTGATAATGTCCATGAAACCACTATTTTGTAGTAAATCGTCACAGCAGTTTTCATGGGATGCGTTCAATTGGTTTTGAGGGTGCAGTTTTTGCAACAAGTCCATGGAATGCTTTTTGGTCTGGCTGACAGATGTGCCATCTTCAGGTATGTCATGAATTCTTGTCGGCCTTGGCCCTCATCCCGAACCGTTGACGAGTTGCCGTACTAAGACCCAATGGCAATGACCTTACAAACAAAAACAGTGGATTCTCACACGCGCAAACCATGTGCGCGTACTCGCCGTGGATCTTAAGATTATATTGGAATATACATGGAATGATTAATGAGGTCTCGTTTTTAATACTCAGTATGTCAGCATTTATTGGAAGTTACCTGAATTTCAACGGAGAGCGGCGTTTACACAAAGATTCGGAGAACGAAATCATTTCAATTGCTGACCGTAGTAGGTTTGGAAAACCCTTGGCTACCTCTGGCCTAACAGCAGAGAATGAATGTTTCGAGGATAAGCAGATTATTATCTGTTGTTCAAAGATAACTACTGACCTCATCCAAAAAATTCTGGATACAAATTCTGCTCAATCGTACCTTGAATAGTGCCGTCAGGTGCAGGTAGCCATTTCTTTTTAATTATAATGGGGTTTTGTAGGGAGCTCAGTGTCTGATAATTGGACGTGGTTCCTATCTCTGGACTCTGTTAGTCAGGAATGTTAGGCCTGTCATTGTTGAAGAACTGCGTTTCAGCTTAAAGATTTAGAACTGTCTATAACTATTCAGATGGAGAGATCTACCATCTGACCGACAGATTTTCTATGCTCGGGTATTTTGGCATATTTTCTAACACCTTCTTCTCGACACTCAGATTTTCATTTGAATTTCTATGATTTGCTAAAAGTTTTCCATCCTATTCGTGGTTGTAGCCTTCATCAAAGCTTCGCCCTTGGTGTCATCTTAAGATGACTTTATTGATGCACGACTTTCGAAGAATATCGGTAAAACCGGGTTTGACCTATTGAGGTTTTTCAACCGAAATGTTGTAGTCTTGCAATAGGAACAACGCTGTGACAGAACGGAAGGTCCACCCAATATCATCTAACTAATGTCCGGTAGAAGATTTGGTCGATTTGTGGATTGACTTACAAGCTTACTGCCTGGACTGTTGCTTTGAATGTACACTATAATTATTCTGGATAAAACGGTATGAAGTGGATTGCGGCAAGGGGGTGTAGATTTTAGTGATATAGCATAATTATGTCGTCCGGGGATTTTACAGTACTAGCACTAGACTCCTTGATTTCTGCCCCACAAATTCATATCTTTAAGATGCCCGAAGAACTGTTGGATCTATAGTATATTTTCAAAAGAATCCTCCACCCTTGGAAGAGCCCTCTGCGAAATGAAAAGCTGATTGATGAGTAGCATGATATTGTCTGAATATTATCAATAATCGAAAAATAGGAACGTACAGCAAGATTCCATTATCTGTGGGGCATAAGAGACTGATCATCGTGATTTCCCGTTATCTCCTTCGGCACATGAACTAACGCTGGTTTATCCGGCCTTTGTGTAGGATGGGGTAGAGGCAGAAGAAGGAAGAACGTACACCCGGAAAGGTCTATTGTGTCTGACGTTGCGGGTATTTGTTTCGTCTTCCTATCTTCAAAGACTGAACATTTCGGTTCACAGTTCTCATTATATGTTGCTCTCTTTTTCGTGTGTGTAGTCTGCCAGTACCAGCGGAGCCACTGTGTGTGGCTCGATTCCCACTGTAACTTGTTTCCATGCAGCTGCCCTACTTGTTGACCGTCCTTAGTGCTGGTAATCGCATTTTAACTACGATAAATGAGATAGAAGCGTTAAGTTTTGGCTCGAAAGTTCACTAGCAGCCCAAGAATTTAGTCGCTTAGCGACCGGCAATCAAAAATATTACTGAAAATGTGGAAAGAGGAATGATCATACCGGACTTATTTGCCATCGTTCACCAGCCCTAACTGAATGTAAGACGGTGGAGACCTGAATGCTAAGTTTGCTGCTCTATCGCCTGAGTCATGGGCTCACTTCCTACCTGCTGGGACATGGATTCCACCAAGTCATTCCATCACCATGTTATTTTTAACATTCCCGGCCACAGTCGACTTGGCGTAAGCTTGTGGTTTATTGGTAATGCCAACTGAGTCTCAGTTCAAGCCTCAACTATTCACTGGCTAATATTGGGATATAACTAGCTGGTGACGGCACATGGGCTATTTGGTCCCCCTTCTACCTGTCCGTAATACTTCTCGATCTTAAGAAGCTCTCATAGGCGAAAGGTTGTGCTTATGACCACCATAGAACCTTTGTTGCGCCGGTGCTAATGCTCTGACCGCGCTAAAGGGCGGTGTTTTGTACACAAAAATGTGCAGGTTGGTGACTTGATTACATAGGCCGTTAATTTTTCCCGACTCTCTTGTTGAATGTGTGTGTTGCTAATTCAGGCTCAAAGTTCACTCTGAATAATTATTAGGCTATTGTATTCCTTCCTGGATAAGGAAGGAGACGAGTCGAGCACCGGGTCAATTAATT